AGCCGTAAACAGCATGAAAGACGTTGCTAGCAAGAGTCTAAGCCGCTTGCAGGAGGCCACAAATGATTCCACGCGCTGGAAAGGGGTGAAAGGGGGAACAAGCAGAAAGAAAGGGGGAAAGGGAAGCCGCAATAAAACCCCACAGCTGTGGGTGAAAGGGGAAATGGAAGGAGGAGCGAATCGGTTAGCGATTCCTGCGATTGAATTCAAATTCCGTCGATGAATCCACTTCAAAGTCAAGACGAAACCGAGACACGAGTAGACGAGGACAAGGAGGAGCCGAGACGCGGAGGAGTCCTTCCTCCTGGAAGGAGCATCGTCTTCGGTTCGGCTGCAGCTTCAAGTGGAAGTCTCCCTGCTTCCTGCCGCATCTTCCGTCCCCGAATCCACATCGTAGTCCCAATCCCCATCCTCCTTCCTTCGTGTTTATCCTGTTGTATCCTCGGCGCCACTCAAGTGGAGTTCTCAGCTTTCTCTCTTTTTTCGCCCCCCTTGCGGGGCGGTATGTGGAAGGGGGGCGTGCTTTGTTGTGGGGTTTAAATATTTTATTGATGTCATTTGGACAATCGACTGCTCGACTCCCCTCGAATGCTCACTTCAGTGCCCCCCGCCTTTTTTGCTCCTCGCTCTCTCTCTCTTACCCTTACCCTTATACCTCCAGCATCCATCCCCCTCTTAAGTGCTGTCCTTCGATTGTTATCCTCCCAGTCTCCCAATCGGATGGGGTATTCCCTTTTTTAACTTTTTGTGGCTTAAACGATGGAAATCAAATCAAATTTCATGTGCCTCATTTGTGGCAATTACTCGATGGATGAGAGGGGGACTCTGGTCAAAAGGGGAGCAATAACAGTCATTGTGGGGTTAAGATTAACCCACAAGTTGACCACAAAACATGGAAAATATTTATCTTTTTTTCAATTTTCATAAAGTTATTCCTTCGATTCGCTCTCCTTTCCTCTCCTTTCCTTTCCTCCTTCTTTCTTTTGTGTTTGTGTTTTTGTTGTTTGCCGATAAATTGAACAATTTTCCATTTATGTGCGGGAAATGCACTTACAACTTTTCCACTCCCCCGCCGCCCCTCCCTTCCCCCTCTTTCTCCGCTTCTTTTGTGCGCTTCCTCCTTTAATAAACTCCTGTCTCCCTTTCCTTTTCCTTGGATCTCTGATAAAAAGTATACGGAATGGAGCATGTTCCTCCACAACAAACTTTTTCTCCCACAAACACCCACATGTGTGTGCCCCAAATGGGGCATGCCTCTCTGCTGTTGCTAGGCGCACTAGGAGCCGTGGACTTTTTTGAAAGAAAAGCCTAAAAGAATGCGAGCGGTGCAGCAGCTGCATCTATTTTGTGGCAGATTCCGAGGGTTTTCCTCGTCGAAAACTTTTCGCACAACAATAGGAAGGCGGGCATCGCATAAAGAGAGCCCGCGGCGGCCTCAATGGGTTAATCATGGGATGGGGGGGATTTTCCTAATGTTTTCCTGCGAGCATTTCCCAAATATTTCCAACGGAATGCCATTTTCTTTGGGGCTTAATTTAGTTCTCCAACTATTTCCGTGGGACTCCGAGTCTCTCCATATTTTTCGTAGTTTTTCTTCGGTATTTTATGTGCTTGACTTTTTGTTAACTTTACATAAATTTGGTGACATTTTCCCTGCTAGTTTTCCCTGGCTTTCCCTGTGCATTGCGGAAATTGTTTTGAATACTTCATTTCAGCAGTTTTTCCCGAGGATTTATTTATCCTTCTTTCGGCACTTTTTTCCTCTGGCGGAAACTTTCGTTCAAGCAGATTGCAGTTTTTCCGCAAAAGTACAAAAAAATAGTAAAAATAATTTCCCTTTTATGCAGATGAGTCCTTCCCTCTTTTTTTCCCTTTTCCTCCCTTTTCCTAGTGTCCTTTTTCTGTAGTAATGAAATTGACATCTTGTGTCGCTGTGTCGCGATTTCAAGCTGATTTCCGTTTTTGTTACGTTTCCGTTCTGGTTTCTTTCATTTTCTTTCATTCATTCCTTGTTTCCTCATCAAGTATTTTGGCCTTTCCCTTTTCCCCGCCACCCCCCACCCAGTTTTCCGTGAAAACTTCTCTTAATATCCTCGTTGTTGTTGCCTTTCTTCTGGTAGTGTCTTTCAATTCAATTTCCGCGCTCACTTCTGGCTTCTTGCGACCTCTGCTGCTGTCGCTCCCCCTCTGGCAGTCATGCCGCAGCTGAGTGCTGCATTATGGGGCATTTATACTTGTAGCAGCATCACAAATGCAACTTTGATTGAGGCATGGAGCCCCATCTTTTTTTCGGTGGCATGATTAAATTTTGAGCGAGTTCTAAAGAGGAGGACTGCGAATTGAAATATTTTTAATTTCTCTATTGAAATTGATGCATCATTATCAATGTTATTTATTTTCTTCCTTTTTCTAAAGAATTTTATAGAATTTAATTGTGTAGAATTTTTTTTTATATTGTGGTATTTTTTTTTCTAATACGGTATTTTTTTTTAAATTTTCAATAAAATTTCTGATTTTTTTTTTTTTTTTATTGTAGAGATTCCACAAAAATTCTTGATCAAATCTATATTTTCTTGTGGTATTTAGTTTTGGTATTTTCTAGTATTTTTTAATTGTGGGAATTGTTAAAATATTCTCTATTAATTGTCATATTGTCTATTTTCTAGTATTTTTTTGTGTTTGTTTGATTTTAAATTGTTGGAGAGAATTCTGTAAAATATTTGTTCTGTTAATGTTTGGTTTGTATTTTTTGGTATATTATTCGCAAAGCATTTCGCCATTCAAATTTCATCTTCCACTCGACCTCTACAATGTGGTTTATGGTACATCCAACCGCGAGAGTTCTTGATTAATAAATCCTTTACTGTTTCTCTACAATCTACCGCTTATTTTCCCCCTGTCATATAATTCTTCGGTCATATAATCGCATTTTGCAGGAGACAATCATAAACCCCTCAATGCCTACGCCATTATCCTCCACTGATCATCCACTTCCTGTGCGTTTGGGGATGGAGCTGGGGATGATGCATCATTAACCATGGCAACCCTGTCCCAGTATCCCAGTGCCGTAATGTCCCATTGTTGTGGCCTTTTGCGATTGTTTGATTAAAAAGCATAATGAAATATGCAGCAGACCAAAGTTTTGCTGCGTTTGTGTTTGCGTCATTGAAAATCAAGTGACAAGCCCCCAAAGCACCAGCCCCACACCCACCACGGACATCACACGTCCACATAATAATTAAATTGAATATGGCCATTTTTATGCAATTTTTTACTTGGTTTTTAATGGTTGTTATTGCTGTTGGTGTTGCTGCTGCTGCTTCTGAATGGGTGACATAAAAAATGAATAAAATAAAAGTGCATAACGAATAAAATGCGGTCGGGCGTGCAGGCAGCGAAAGCCACTTGCTAGAGATCTGTGGCGACACACGGAGGAATGAATAAGGCGTGTCGACGGTTGGAATACCCTGGAGAATCATTGGTTTTGAGGTAGACTTTGAGGTAGACTTTGACTTTGAGATTTTTATTCGATTTATGGTCTAGATCTTTGGTATCTGGAATTTTCTAGTATTTTCCTGGTATTTTTAAACTATGGGTAAGATAAGACGATGGTAGTTGGTATTTTTTCCAGAGCAGAATTAACCCGATTGATTATTTTTTGATGAGATGTGTAGAAATACATAATTTGGTATTTGCTATTGGTTTTTTTTTTTGTTTTTTTTGTTTGTTTAGTATTTTTCTGTTTTTTCTGTGTCTTTTTTTTCGTTGCAATCCTCATCTTAAAATCATGATAACCTCTCGCCGAAAATGCCAATAAAATACAAAAAAATGGCCCACTGGAAGCAGGTTAATTGTTTATTAATGTTTTGCAGAGTCTCGCGTTTTTTTTAATATTGTTAATATTAATGTTTGGCCAATTGTTTGCACTGGGGCGTTGTTTAATTTGGTTGCTAATTAAGCATTTAACACATCATTTTTATGGCATACTCTGCAGCCCCTGCCTCTGCCGTGCTACCACTACCATTACTTACCCTGCCCCCTGCCACCCTCCTGCTGTAGTACCACTCGCTTTCGTTGTGTGTCTTTTTTGGGATTTTTATTTAATTTAATGCCTCAGTTACAACTCATTTTATATGCTTAAATACATGTTACATACGTACGTGTGTGTGTGGGGGCTGTATATAATGCTTTATATACGATTATATGTACTGTGTCTGCGTGTGTGTGTGTTTCTTCACTCGATTCCAAATATATTTCTCATTATTTAACATTGTTTCATTTCATTTCATCTCATTGTTTGTTAATTGTTAATTTGTTAATGTAGTTATAAAGCAACACATTAGTATTCGTTTGTTATTACATTTTTAGCTTACATATGTAAATGTTTAACATCTGGTTTAATCTTTACATTACATATTAAGCCTTTACTTACAAGCTACTTAAATTATTGTATTTTTCTGCTGGCGCTGATGATGCAACAGATATTAATTCTGACTGGAAGAAGACTGGAAGGGTCTGTGCGGGTTTGTTTCGTTCTAAAGCACTTCTCTTTCCGAATACTGTTTCTTTAAGGAAAATTTCTTTTGAAAAATTATAGAAATATATGGGGGTTTTGAGCGAGTTTTGTTTTTTTTTTCTTTTAAATAATTTTAGGGAAAATTGAAATAAAAATTCTAGTATTTTTGTTGGTATTTTCTGGTATTTTTGTTGGTATTTTCTGGTATTTTTGTTGGTATTTTCTGGTATTTTTGTTGGTATTTTCTGGTATTTTTGTTGGTATTTTATTCCAAAAGCATTCTTCCATGTAAATTTCAACTTTAAAATAAATTCCCAAAAATGTTTGGCCGCCTTTAAACTAGAAAATATATTTAAATTAACCTGCATTTTATACTTAAACATATTCTATGCTCGATATGTGTGTGTGGGTCTATATATCTATTTATGTATGTATATATATATATTTCATTTGCAATCCTTAAGGCATATGTATCTGTTGTATGTGTGTATTCATGAGTGTTTGTTTTTTCTTGTGTATTGATCAGCGTTTAACGCACAAATATAATGTATAGATATCGATGATGGAGATCGTGTGATACTCGTAGATACATTATACGATCCGATAATCATGTGAAACGATTTCTCAGTTTTGAAGCACAGCATTGAAAGCAAAATGAAATTGCATTTACCCTTGTTCCTATACATAGATTTATATATATAGAGTATTTGTATAGATTGTGATTTGATGGATATACATATGCATATAACAAGCTCTCTCTCTCTCTGTCTGTCTGCCTGGATGTGTGTCTCATATATGGGGAAAGGGCGGATCGTAATTAGGGTCTCGGTTCCACTAGTGGTTCTATGCGATTAAATATAGTATTCTCATTTATATGCTAACATTACGTTTGAAGCCTTAGATCTAGTCCCATACCATTGGTTCATAGACTTACACTTACGATAGAGCTAGTAGAACCAACCGCTGACTGGCGGATTGTTAACAAGAATGTTATTGGTAGGAGGAGCGTCATCCACGCAATGGCCTTGGAAGAATTCGCTCCCCTGTTGGCCTCGGAGTCCTCTGGATCATTCGCATTGCCATTTCCATTGGCCGCCAATGGATTTTGGGTCTTATCTAGGAAGGATTTTTGTTCAGATAAACCGATTTCATTCAAATTCGATTGATATCTCGTATCTGAATGATGGTGGATGGTGGTAGTGGTGGTGGATCATGGAATGAAATAGAAATCACACAAAGAAGAAGCCAAGGGATAGCATGACATGAGGGGTTCTCTCAGGGGGGACTATTTCCTTATCGATAGATGATGTGATACTCACTTTTGTCTTGGCCATAACTAGAGCGTTGGCCATCGGATCCGCCATAGGCGTAATTGTTTCCATTGATGCCATTTTCCCTCTCCCAATGGGAATCGGTTGTGCCCGATGATACGGTCGTTGGTGGATAGGAGACTGAAAAAAGAGGGGAAAAGAGGGGGGTTTTGAAAAGTTGGTTTTATATAGCATTTACAACATTATTCTCTATTTTTTCTAGGGTTTTAATTACTGGAAATAATATGCTTAAGGATTTATGAAAATTAATTTAAAAATCAGGTAAGTGAATGCCCATTGTGTGGCTCTCCTTTCTTTCATTATATTCGGTGTGAAATCTGCTTTTCATTTCATTCATTGGCTTTCCATCCATCAATCGTTCATTTACTTTACATTTCCTCGAACCAACAATAAACAAAGATGTATCGGAATATATTTTTGTGTGGCACAAAAAAAAAGAAGATACTTGTTTTCATAAAATTTACATTTTTCAATTTGGAATTTTCACCACGTTTATTTCAAAGTTTATTTGTATCTTTTTTTTATACATATTTATTTAAATTTTTATTTGTGTCTCTTTTTTGTCTTTTTATTTATTTAAAAATTGTATTCAGTCTACTGTCTTTTTTTGCTTTGTCTCTCTTTTGATTTTTGCATTTCATTCGCTCCATTGGATTATGCAAAATGCTAATTATTTGCCGTCAATATTTCGTATTTCCATTTCCATTTCCATAATAATGTTTAAAATATGTATGTGCGTGGCGGGAGTATATTCCCCGGAAAATGTCCCTTCGTGTCTTCGTCGTTTCGTTTCCATTTTTCAATTTGTTGCAAATTATAATTCGAATGCGAGTTCTGTATCACAGCTGCACTTTCCACTAAATTACCGAAAACACTGTTTTCATATGCAAAATCGTTTTCCCGGGAAGGGGATGGCCGAAATTCATAATTAATGAAAATATGTCAAATGCCAGAACTCGCCCTCTGATCTCTGACCCCCCCTAAGCGGTGTGTCATGTGGAAAATATGAAAGAAATTTCAATAGAAAAAAGGGAAACCATAAATTTCTATGGGCTTAGGTTTCTTTTTACTCTTTTAAATTTGTTCTATCTTTCTATCTTCCACGAATGTTATCTTAAAGTTCCACATCCTTGGGCGGAATTTCCCAATCGATAAGTTTAAATTTCTTGAACGAATCCATCACGTAATTAAACGTAAAGACGTGATATTAACTTGCAACTTGAGGCCCCGCACTTGCAACGTACACATACAGACAAACGTGCATACTCGTGTGCCTCATGTGCAAGGAGGAGGCTGGGGAAGGGGGGGGGCTAAACCAGAGAATCCAGAGGAACAGCCTGGCCAAAAAAAAATTCCACACCTTCGGACCAAAAAGGACGTGACTTGATTTTTCACTGGCTTGATTATGGCGCTGCTCAACGAGCAGCAACGAGCAGGCAACGAGCCCCTGCCCCTCTCTGGGGCAGGTTCATTCAAGTCAATTGCGATGCCATGCGGCAGGAGGGGTGGCCATGTGCCCATGTGGCATGTGGCATGTCTGGGATGCCTTGATGGCAATTCGTGGCGAGGCAATTAAGTCACGGACAGTCCTCGGACTATCGTTCGAGATTTCTTTCTTTCCTGGCCACTTTCTGCGTTTCTTTTCGGTCTTTCATTTGGCCTTTGTTTTCGGTGGGTCTAAATGGCTTAGATTTGTCAATTTGTGTTAAGGCCAATGCGGCGATAGTTTTTCAATGCCTCACAGCGTTCCACGAAGACTGGGAGGGCTGGGAGACCATTGAGAACTTAATTAGTTGGGATGTGAACTAGCGATTGAAGAAAGTAGAACTTTAAGAAGGAAATTTCAGGCACTTTTCCTCCGCAGCATGCTCTGCTCTACGATTATCTCAAGATTTTCTCTTGGTTTTTGGGCGTGTGTTTTCCTTCCATTAAAAATGCATTTGCCAGCAAACATTCCCCCTTATGCCAATTCCTAATTGCATTTTGAAGTTCTCTCATGTCTCTTCCACTTACCATACAATCGGATAATGCCATCTGTCTCTCCTCTGGGATTCTTGGCCACACATTTGTAGATGCCATCGTCGCCGCTGCTGACACTTATGATCGTTAGCTTCATGTGGGTCTTGTAGGCAGGCACGCCTACACTTGATTCAACTCTGAAAATGGCAAAAAAAAACAAAGGGTTTATAAATGAAGGAAGGCTTAATAAGAGGACTAGCTCTAAAGATAGATTTTTATAGAAGAAAGTCCAAGAGAAGTATCTCAAGAATTGAGGAAATTCTTTAAGGAAAATCTGCCTTTGGTTAGAGATCTCTGTGTTGAACTCTACTTAACTTAATCTCTCATTTAAATACAATTTATATATTTTTTGGACGCTCACTTGTACTTGTGCGAATCGTGTATGATTGGTCCCTCGCCGCGTGTCCAATAATTGAGTGATGTGGGATGCGCCTCCGTAAAACATTCGATGGTGACATTGAAACCTTCTGGTGCGCCAACCAATTGATGGGGAATGAGCAGCATTGGGGGGACTTGAGGGGCAGATAGAATTGAAGAAAATACATGAATTAGATGTGGGATTTCTCAGCTTAAAATATAACTCAAGTCTCTAGAAATCATTATGTCACTTTCATCATTTCCCATTTCCAGAATTTGTGGTCAAGTTTTTCTCTTAATTCATTTTCAAACTTTTCAAAGTTTTCCTTCAGCTGTGCCCTCACATTTTTGGTATACATTTTCCATTGCATATATTTCATCAGAGATATATCTAGATTTTTCGCACTGATGTTTTCCCTGGGGTATTTTTTTTTATGCAAATTTCAGAGCATTTTTTTCTTGCTGATTTTCATTAAAATTGCAAGAAAAAGTCAAGCAAAGTGAGAGAGAGAAAGTTCTTCAAAAAAACAAAAAACTATCCCATGAATAGCATTATTCGGAACACGAATACGAAGATTTCTTATCTTGAAGATACTCGCACTCATTCTGCCCTGCCTGCACCTTTTGTATCTTTGCATCTATAGAAATGCAACCTTTGGGTTTCGAGCACAGGAAAAACCACACTTCTCGCGCATTCGGCGCACATTTTTAATTAAGATATTAAATGGGAAAAAGAAGTATGGAAAATGGGGAAATGGGGAAAGAAAACTGAGGGGAAAATGTCACGAAAAGTGGGGACTAATGAACACTCGAGCATTACGGATTTTTTCATTCAGAATTATTGTCAGACCACGGCGGAGGAATCTTCATCATCATTAAGTGCCACAATGGAGGTCCTTTCTCCTTCTTTCGTATTTCTCTCGTATTTTTTGTGTGCCTCTGCGGCTGCCTGCCTTTACCTTTTGTGGATTTATGTCCACCACGAGATGGCAATTAAGCTGAAGGCTAACACAAAAAAATTGTGTGGCATAAAAAGGTGTGATGGTGAGGGTGAGGGTGAGGAGGGGCAGACCGTCTTCTGTTTGTGCCACCAATTGAATTTTTAATCAGCTTTTGGACGCAAATTAGCAGGGTTTTTTTCTGCTCTGCTCTTTAGTATTTTTGATGAGGCATGTGCCCCACCCGCCTTTAGGGGCTGTGGGGCATAATCCTTTTAATCAAAATACAGCTTAAGTGTGATGAAATGAGCGGCTTAATTAAGTTGTCAAGGGGTTTGGGTCAACGGTCTAGTGTCCACTGTCCACTGTCCCCTGTCGAGTGTGAGGGCTGGAAAACCACAAACTTTTATCCTGCGATGATATTTTGATTGGCTGTTTCTTTGGGGATAATATTTGTGCTCCTTTGTTGGAAACAGATTTCTCCAACAATTTGTTAAAACAACTTCTGTGTGACAGCTTGCATACCATGTCCTTTATGTCCTTAAGTCCTGGCAACACACACAGTCCAACTACACAGTCGGAGTAGCATACGTCTACGTTTTATTTTTGTGGCGTGCGTTGCTTAACAAGCAGGAAGCAACAAATTCAGTTTCTGTTTCCGTAGTTCTGTTTCTTTCTTCTTCCTTTTTCTATATATACCCTCGTATGCTCGTATTATTTCTGACTGCATACTGATTTGTTGCCTCTTTGTGCAACCGAATGGCACAGCACAACACAGAAACACTGGGAAAACTTCCCCTCAAGAAAATCAAGGAAAAAAGGCAACATGTGCTACAAACGACCCTTAACCTGGCGCCACTTGTACCAGAGAATCGTCCTGCAACGGCAAAGGAATGTACAAGAAAAAGAGCAAGAAATGGAAATCTTATGGTTTGTATGGAGACTGGAGGGTACCCTGTATTAAAGAAAATATATCTTAAAAATAATCTTAGAAGAAAATAAAGAGGAATTTCTAGAGGAATACAAAAATTTCTAAACAAATTGTACGATTTCAATGAAAGTTGGAATTTAGGTAGATAATATCAGTATCTACAAACATAGAAAAGCAGAGTTTGAAATCTTTAAAGCTGTGGATGCTACAAAAAAAGACGGCAGGATATAAAGGATTGTAGGTGGAAATTACTGCTAAAAAATACACTGCATCTTTAAAACAGTCTTAGAAATGGTCGTAAAGGTGGAACAGTGCTGCCAAACAAGAATTTTAGAGGAAAAACATAACACAGATATACTTTCTTTCTTGATCTTGGCTGTAGTCATTAGCCGATCAAGTTGAATTTCGGAATATAGGTAGATATTAAAAAGATATATACTCAAACCGAAGAGCTTACTGATATCTTTAAAATTGTGGAAACCACAAGTTTTCCTAGATTATAGTCAAAGTTTTCCTTGGGAAAGAAATATGGTAATGGCTGTAAGCACTCAATAGCCGATGTTTCTCCATAGTCTACGCATTTTTTGAGATCTAAGATATATTTCTCTGCCTGTAACTAACCTGTGAAAGAGCATATTATACCCTCTTCCATGATAGATACAGGGTACATGTCTCAGAGTATTTGTAATTTCGTATGCAATGCAGAGATATTTTATATTGATATAATTTCTGTTGATTTCAGTCCCCCTCCCCCTCCCCCTCGTTTGGAGAGCAGAGCGAGAGGGCTTAAGCGAAAGAGCTTAAGCGGGAGTCAAGTGGTAGAAATCACCTTGAAGTTCGCTTGTCGTCGTTTTCCTTATTTTCCCATATTTTCCATTCATTTTAATTGCCCTTACAAAAGGAGAGTCCCGCTCAAGTGCTTTTTCCCCTCTGGCACGGGGACAAACATTTGTCCCAGGATAACAGCTTCTTTACCACTCTCCGACTCCGTCTCCGACTCCGACTCCCACGGTCTTTTACTCGACTTTTCTTTCGTTTCGTTACGTTTCCGGGCACTGATTTAAATTACAATTGAGTGGCGACAATATTGGTGAAAGGCGGCGGTGGAGGGACCACCAGCTCTGGAGAAAGGACACTCGCCAAGCAGCTGCTAAGTGCCACAGAAAGAACCCAAGTCGACGGGTGGGCGGGCGTCCGGCCAGGACTTGAGTCAACAATAATTTAGCCCTCCAAACCGATGGCAGAGAAGGTGCACTGGCCACTGGGCACTGGACACTGAGTGACATTTTTTTGCTTCTATAGAAAATTACTGAGAAAAAACTGGGAGCTGCAGAGAAAGAGGAAAGAAAGAGGTGAACTGTCGAGTGTAAACAACTTGAAAATTAGCCGTTAATGAAGCCTCGTTAGAGGGTTCGGGAATCAACGGAGAGATTTGCAGGGAGGATTACCTTCTCTTCCTTTCCTGTTTTTTTTTTTTTTATTACTGTTGCAAGTGGCCATTGATTGGGGCACAATGCCATGGAGGTACAATATTTGTGTGGAATTAGTGTGAGACAGTTTTGTGTAAATGGGAAATGACGATGGCATTGACTTGATTGCCGGACAGGATAATGGCAGGAGATGGCGTCTATCCTTGGCGGGCAATTGTCTAGAGAAAATAAAGCCTTTTATAGGATTGGCAAAGGCTTAAGGGTAGGGGAATTACACTAAGAAAATGTTTGGGTTTTTGTTTTGTTGAGAAGATCTGTTATTTTTCTAATAATTTGTATCTATAGGAGGGTTTCTCCTCCTCTGCCCCAAAGACCCACCTCTAGAGGGTTTGTACATTTTCTTTTCCTGCAATCTATGGTTCTATGGTTTTTTTTTGTGTTTTTTTGTGTTTGTGTTTGCCACTGACCGCTGCTGTGTGGTTCTGTGTTGCACACGTGTAATTTGTACTGGAGTTTTTGTGGCAACAAGGACTCCGCCCCCCACCCACCTTCGTTCCAGTTCGAATGTCAGTGGCGAAAACACACACACACAAAAATAGATTTATGCTTGCGGCATTTTTAAGTGACAGCAAACGAGGAAATTTCTGTGACGACTGCGACATGGCTGGTGGCCCCCACTGCATCCTTCCTGCCTTGCATACTCCGTGGCGGGCCACGACAGGAGCTTGACAACACATGTGATGGGATGTGATGTGATGTGGTGTGGTGTGCTGGCTGTCTGTCGCCTGTAATAAATCTTAAAAAACTGCACCAACAGCCAGCGAACGCAGTGATTTGATTCCATCATTTTATGGAGTTTTTTTTCTGCTTGTTTCTTGCTTTGTGCAGCTGTTTCTCGTGCTCGTTTTAAGCCTCAAACTTTGCTGCAGACACAGCTACAAGTGTGGGTTCAAATTGCAAAAATGTTTGAAAAAATTCCACCAAAAGACTAAGCACAGTGAAGACTCAAAGGCATAGAAAAAGGCATTGAAAATAGAAGCAGAAATATCAGAAAATGTTGAAAGATTCACTTGGAATATGGAGGAGTATCTGCGGTGTCTCTGGCATAGAGATACATTTTCTCGTCAAGTTCTGCTGAGGTTTTCTTCCACTTTGTGCCACTGTAGCGCAGAAAACCTTTTCCCAGATTCTCGACTTTAATCCGCTGATCCGTCAAATGGAAATATGAGTTGGAACACACCACAAAAACAAAAAAAGGAAGACCCAATTTTAACAGCTAAACAAGTCTTTTGGTCAGGGAAAATAAATGGAAAACTGGATGGAAAAATAAAAAGAACCTCCAACAAAATGAAAGATAACCCAAGTTTGTGTTTAGATAAATTTCTGTGAGGATACTCCATTGAATGGTTAATGGAAATATGACACAGATTGCTGGATGATTCACTTTATCATTTTGGGGATGACAGGGAAGGATACTTACAGTCGACACTGACTTTGATGCGCTTCGAAACCGTTGGGGGCACGCCATTCGAGGCGATGCACAGGTAGGCGCCCATATCCAAACGGGAGATGCGAGTTATCTCCAAAGTATCGCCCTCCCATTCGTTTACTGAAGCGAGAGAGAGAGAGAGAGAGGGGGAAAAAAAAGGAAAGGACAGTGTTAAATGATTGATGCAGTGCATCGTCGCATTGCCGCCCTTCCATTTGATGCACTTACCTATGTGATTCTTATTGATGGCTATACGGGAGTTATCGTCCCGTTTCCATTTGATAATGGGTCTCGGGCTACCACTCGCCCGACACCTCAGCGAAATGTTGGCGCCCTCGCGGACAATCACATCGCTGGAGCTCAGCGAATCATCAATGTTGGGGGGAACTGCAGAGAGAGAGAGAGAGAGGGAGACAGAGAGAGATTTGAATTACGGTGACAACGATAATCCTCTTAAATATACATATTTACAATTGAACTTTGGCCTCATGTTTATTCATGTTAAATATTTGTGGGTTTTGTGGAACCATAATATTAGGGCTTTTCATACAGGAAATTGCTTTTAAAACGAGGCCTCAAAATATTTATCATTATGAGTGCAATAGGAGCTTATGTTAGAATATACCCTTTAATTTTAAGCAGAAATTGGTCTCTCTCTTGCAGAATTACAAATATACTCTGTGCTACAGTTAAACCCAGTGCCTCCGAAGTCCAGCTTATCTGCTTGAAAGAAAGAGAGAGCACTACAAGCACAAAGGCAACGTATGTACATACATATTTGCTAATTTGTGCCTGCTATGGAGATCAGCCGATGCTGAAGCTAATGTAAACTGCAATAACAATTTTTCATAGTCTACTTTATGCCACTCCTTCGCTTCTCAGCTAAGCAACAACACTTTTGCTTTTTCAAGCGCCGGGGCTTGTCGAAGCCGAAATAAAGCAGAAATTGGTCTCTCTCTTGGAGAATTACAAATATACTCTGTGCTACAGTTATAGCCAGTGCCTCCGAAGTCCAGCTTATCTGCTTGAAAGAAAGAGAGAGCACTACAAGCACAAAGACAACGCATGTATTTGCTTATTTGTGCCTGCTATGGAGATCAGCCGATGCTCAAGCCAGTGTAAACTGCAATAACAATTTTTCATAGTCTACTGTATGCCACTCCTTCGCTTCTCAGCTAAGCAACAACACTTGTGCTTTTACAAGCGCCGGGGCTTGTCGAAGCCGAGACTTGTCGAAGCCGAGACTTGTCGAAACCGAGACTTGTCGTGTCCGAACATGCAGAAAAGTGATCGTCTCTTCTTTATGGTCTCGCAGTTGTACCCATTGAATAAAATATTAGTAATGATCAAAAGCAATGCATTGCCATGAGTGAAATCTTTATTTCAGGAGTACTGTGTATTTCAGCTATCAATTTAATTGCAATTTTCATTAGGAACAATTTTGAAGGAAACATGTTAGTTTTTTTAATGCAATTTTTTTTGCAAATATTTCTTTATTTCCTTCTCTTATTGCCTTTCATATAATTTCGTATTTCTTTGTTTGTGTAAATTTTTTTAATTAAAAGCCTGCGCGCATTCGCGCATTTCCCTTCCACAAATATCGCATGCATTTTTAATAATTTGTTTGTTGTTTGCGAAAGGCAGGGAAAATAATTTCGCCTGTGCAAAGGATACTGGATTCACAGGATTCACTGAACTGTGCTCCACATTTTCGGGTGCCTGGCCGGCCCCGTGCTCTCGGGTCTCGTTCTGGACTCTCTCCCGTTTGGCTTTCTCCTGTTTTCTGTTGTTTTTTTTTTCCCCGTGCTTAAAGGCACATAAATTATTTTTTAATTCGCCGCGTATTTGCACAGGATTTTCCGGTGCGATTTTCACTTGCCCTTAGGCCAAGCGCTGCTGCCGCCCCGCCCCCGCAGCGACCCGACCCTCTGGGGAGGCAGCCTCGTCGTTGATTAGATTTTCGCATAAGTTTTCCCCCTGCCCCCCTGCCCCCCACTCACCCACAACATTGAGGTAGCCAAACTGCGTTTTGGCCGTCACCGTATTGATCTGGCACATGTAGCGTCCCTTGTCCTCCTCGTGGACATTGTTGATGTGCAGATACCACGTGCGATGCCTGTCGTGCTTGTCGTGCGTGACACTGATCCGTGGGTTCCGCGTGATCACGTGATTGTGAACGGTAAGGATAGCGCTCTGCTCAAAGTGCATCCATGCTACCTAGAAATAAAATTAAATAAATTATATCTTGTGCATATTTGGTATCGACTTGGTGACCTCTAATCCACACCCCCTCGTATTACCACTTGAAATGGAAGCTTAAAATATTTAATAACATCGCCCAATGGCATTTTCCGTCCATTCTCCAACTAAACTACACACAATTTCACCCAAGGACTACATATCCTGAGCAATTTTCGCAGCGTCAGCATTCAGGAAACAAAAAAAACATAAAAAAGTGGAAATGGAACGCTTTGGAAAAGGCAGAAAGCGGAAGCGAGAAAATTGCATCATAGTGTCGCATATAAAAATAAACGCAAAACCGGTTACAGGATCCTGTGTATCCTGTGGATGTGTCTGGTGATAGCTCCTATGAATTACATGCATCCTACGAGCAGAAGAAGGAGCAGGAAGTGTGTAGCCTTACTCACAGGAGAACCTGCCACTTGGCACTGCCGCCACTATTGCTACTTAAACATGCCATCAGCCGACTCTGAGGCTAAAACGAGAGCCAAGGAAAGAGAGAGCTTCCCCACTGCACTTTTCCTTTTGGCATTTTCCTCATGCCCTGCACGTGCTTGTGTGTAGGTTTTTCCTCTGTGTGCGTGCGTGTGTGTGTGTGTGTCACTCTCTCTTCCTCATTTACACCTCAATTTGATTCCATTTCCCACTGCGTTCAGACGAGACTATTGAATGGGTTTTCCCGGGTTTTCTTTCGTTTTTTCTTTTTTGGTGCTAACAAGCCGCTCGCTCGCCCAGTGGATGCGAAGATGATGCGATAGGTACTTGAGCTGCAGTGCTTGGAATTTCAGTGTGAAGTGTCCTCTAATGATGCCCCTAGCCAGAGGTCCTGTGTGCCTTCTAAAAGTTGGTAATTTGATGGGTCGGTCGTCTGGTCGTATCTCTTTGGGATCATCATCGTGTGGATAATTAATTAGTTGACTTTTCCTCCTTCTCGTCTTATCATCGCGCCTCATTTGCTATGCATTCCACTCTCTCCCTTTCTCTCCCTTTCTCCCTTTGCCTGCCTCCCCTAATCTCCCGTTTGAACACCGTTTTTATGCCAAGTAATCAAATCATTAGCACTCATTACAATCTCCTTAATTAATAAATCATTTCACGTTCCTTTCATGCTTTCCCCTGCCCTCGGGGCTCTCTCTTTTCTCCTTTCTCCTCCTTCTGATTATATTTTCGCGCTAATGATGCATTAAAACTATGCAGTGAGACGCAATGTCAGCACTTTTCAGGGTCTCTCCTTTCGCTGTGTGCATTGAGGGATTTTTTTTCAAATGAATAAAATGGGGAATTTTTATTATTTTTATTTGAGCCAATTTGTGATTTAAGGCGAAAGATTAGTTTTGAAAAGAGAGGCAGAATTTTTGATGGTAATAAAACTTAGGGAAATCTTTATGGTTTCTTAAACCGGAATAAGAACTAGAACTAGGACTCCTAAAACCTTCAGGAGCCATCGATGGAGGCCCCAATGCAAAAGTCTTACCTTATATGATCCCAGATTCTTAACGGAGCATCCGAGCTTAACATTACGTCCGGCAGGTACAGTTACATTTTCGATGTATTCAGTAAATTCGGGTTCTTCGACAACAGCTGCAAAAAACAAAATAAATCAATAAATAGAAATATGTAGAAATAGAGACAGCGAATTAATTTAGTGCATAAAATATTTATCAAAATTTTCATTTGATATTTTCATATTTGACTAAGTTGTTCTTTCGGGGGTTCGGGTGGTTTTGGCTGGGTTCCAATGTCAATATGTCATGCATTTGGATTGCATTTTGTATTTTGCATTTTGCATAATCAAATAGACCATAAAAATCAATTATGCGCACAAAATTAATTGTAAAAATGTTTTGTGGAACATATCGCCAAGAGCCATCGTTGGGTTGCAAAAATTCCTTTTGTGGGGCCAGTGGAAAATAATTATTTCATTGATTTCTACATCGAATCATTATTGCTGCTGCTGTTGAGGCATGTGCCAGCGGCAAAGGGGGGGGGCAAGTAATGCCAATGGTTGCAATGTGGACTAGAGGATACCTCTTAAATGGGAAAATATTGCCAGAGAACTCTTGCAAGTGGGGATCTACTTTCAAAGGGTATAGCTTTTACATTTTTGGAGGAAAAACAAAGGCCTTTTTTTTCCAAAGGTAATACATATATAATTTCATAGATTATGATAGGTCACCAATCCAAAGCTCAGTACTGTAGCCTCTCACATCCGATTGTAATGAATTTTTCAATTTTGGCGGAAAATAACATTATATTTAACTTTACCAAAGATCAGCTCTCTATCTTTCACAGTTTCCAAGTTACACGATTTTTCTTTATTCCAAAATTCGATTTAGGTGCATCTTTTCCCTGACTACAAACATACCCCGTTGTACCCTGTAATAATAGCAATAGCAAATGTGTACAAATATAATTAAACACATGTTCGGGCACTCCCCCTACACCGTGCGCGTCCCCCCCCCCCCCCCCCATTCCCTGTCGTTATTTCGGTTGAAACATCAACAAGTTGAACGTTTTTTGTTGCCTCTTTTTCAGACTCCTGCAGGCAGCAGCTGCACGTTGCATGCCGCATTCATTAAAGTTTTAATGGCCGTAGAAATAACTGTGCGAAATTCTCTTTGGCATTCTTTGAAGGGAGAGAGCGACTTGGCCTAAAACATTTAGCTGCTAATTTGTTTGGAAGTTAAGCAAATATTGAATATAGAAATGCAATTTTTGTTGACTCTGGGCATTTGATAGGCAAACGGAAATTGGCCAAAATCAATTCATTTGCATTTGAATTTGGTCATTCAATTAACCAGTTATTCTGTTTGCAGCAGCAATTATTTAGCAGTCCTTCCTGCAGGACGCCCCCCGCCAAAGGCAACGGCTAGGCGCTTAATAAACGACTCGGATTTCAATGGAAATGTTTGTCAATGAAAGGCGGAAAGATGCTCAAAGAATGAGGCCCTCTTATGTGTGATAAATTGATCAATTAAATGTGGAATTAGCTATTTTATGCCATTTACTTGGACGATTAGTTGGGTAAATATTTGTATATTTTTATAATCAAGGAATATTTCATAATTTTGACTAATTTGATACCTTCAGAAATACCCTTGATATTATGTATAATATTCGATTTATTATGCTCTTTCCGTTTGATATTTGCATTCTGTGGAAAGGGGGAGAAATTCGGTGGAAAAGCCCCCAACATTTTAATTGCAATTTATGATTATGAGCGTGTATATATGTATATTCCATATTTTCACAGACGACAGCGAAACGGGGGCGGGAGAGGAGGCCTCTCCAGTTTCTATCCATTGCCTAGGCTTAATTATCTATTTATGATGTCCGGCAGGCTTCTGCCCGCCAGATACACACAAATGTTGTACGATATAGAGTTACACATTTGCTGCAAGTGGAATGGGAATTGGGGGCAGTGTGTGCGCCGCACAAGTCAATAGAAATTCGACAGTTGACTCTCGAAACGGGCCATGAAAATGGTATGTGGTTACCCCTTAAAAAGGGAGGGTATTTTGAGCCTCAGGAGAGGTTTGGTATAACAGAAAACGGAGTCTTCGATGGGACCAGCCGACTACAAATTGGATGTCCTCTGGGGTAAAGGGTAGCTTCAGCATCGATCAGCGTTTCAATCGCCTTCTGTGACACCATGTGACCCGGCCTCCTAGTGGCTAACAAGCCCCCGCAACTAATTAACGAAACAATAACACAAAATGTTGCATAAATTAGTGAAAGGCTGCTTTCTCCAGAGGGGCAGAGGGAAACGGCCAGCGATCGGAGGAGGCGACTCCCCGCATAGGAAAAGTGACACCCATAAAAAAATGCGCGGGCAAACACTGTTGCAAGTCAAGCGTGCAACGTTTACGCAGTGGGCGTATGGGGGGTGGGGGGATGGGCCAAAATTCTCTGCATAATCATGGGATTTCAGCCAGCTGCAATTTTCGCGCCAGAGCGCGTGTCTGCATATAAATTTTGCCGAGACGAGACGAGGCGAGGCGAGGCGAGGCGGCTGCGGCCACGCCCTCAAAAAGCGACATCCAAACAAAAACAAAAACAAAGCGAATGCAAAGAGATGACAGTTTTCTCGAGGGATTGACAGGGAATTGGAGATACTCTTCGGGGGGAAAAGAAAGGGATTTTCCATGGAATGTTGAGTTGAAGTTCCAGACAGATTTCGGAGCATTTTCGAGGGAATTTTGTGACTTGAATCAGCTCCCAATTTTTCAATTAAATTCATTCTAGTTTCAACACCTAATTGAAATACAAACCCCATTTGCTGGTTGAATAGTGAATATATTCACACGACTATTCATGAATAATACTACGGCTGAAGGACGAGGATGATGCGGATGTTTGTGCCATCAGAAAAGGGAGGATTGATGGGGCTTTACAAGTAGGAACTAATGAAAAATCACCACAAAGAGGAACTTCCACATAAGACAATTGTTCTCGAAATTGAATGGGAATATATCTGGGTTTTTTCAAGTGTATCTAAACCTTCGACTTTCAGCCTCAAAAGTCTCTCTTTTTTATGCTGTTGCTCTTGTTGCTGCGGCTGCTTGTTGCACCTGAGAACAATGACAGCCGGCATTTGGTGGGGCCTGTGGCATGCAGCAGCAGTTGGTGGTGGGCGGGGGGTAGCATTGGGGATATAACATTGAAAAAAGAGAGCAACACCTAACCCCCTGGGGGCCGTATTTCTTTTTCGTCACATATCTGTGCAGCTGCTTTTCATTTTTGGCATAAAGCCCGTGTATCACTTATGACCCTAGGCGCCTCTCTATTGTCTCTCTCTCTCTCTCTCTCTCTCCCCATTATTCCCACCATGTGCCACTGTGGCCCCTTCTATTGTTCTGTATAAATATGACGCCTACGACGAGATACGAGATACTGTATCCCCGGATGTTATTGATGCCATCATCGGGATGGCAGCAGCATCGAGAGAGTCAGAGAGACATGGGATAGGGATGGGACATGGTTCGAAGGTCTGATCTTAGTATTTTGCCAGTAAGGTCTAGTTCTCTCTTTTCCGAATGTACAGAGATATATGCAAGACCCCTCATACATAAAGATACATTAAATTATACCTGAGATATTTTTATACCCGATACTCAAAATGAGTATTGGGGTATATTAGATTTGTGGTAAAAGTGGATGTGTGTAACGTCCAGAAGGAATCGTTTCCGACCCTATAAAGTATATATATTCTTGATCAGCATCAATAGCCGAGTCGATTGAGCCCTGTCTGTCTGTCCGTCCGTCCGTCTGTCCGTCTGTCCGTCCCCTTCAGCGCCTAATGCTCAAAGACTATAAGAGCTAGAGCAACGATGTTTTGGATCCAGACTTCTGTGATATGTCACTGCTCCAAAAATATTTCAAAACTTTGCCCCGCCCACTTCCGCCCCCACAAAGGGCGAAAATCTGTGGCATCCACAATTTTAAAGATACGAGAAAACCAAAAACGCAGAATCGTAGAGAATGACCATATCTTTTAGACTGCGGAATCTGAATTGGATCGTATTATTATTATAGCCAGCATCAAGAAAACAATTTCATTTTTTCTCGCCCTGTCTCTCTCTAACACACACGTAGCATAGGCGGCTTTGCTTAGAGTAAAACATTAGCGCCTAGATCTCAGAGACTATAAAAGCTAGATCAACCAAATTTGGTATCCACACTCCTAATATATCGGACCGAGACGAGTTTGTTTCAAAATTTCGCCACACCCCCTTCCGCCCCCGCAAAGGATGCAAATCTGGGGATATTCACAAATCTCAGAGACTATTAAAGCTAGAGTAACCAAATTTAGTATCCGCACTCCTGTTAGATCTCACTATAAAACGTATATCTCAAAATTTCGCCCCACCCCCTTCCGCCCCCACAAAGGACGAAAATCTGTTGCATCCACAATATTGCAGATTTGAGAAAACTAAAAACGCAGAATCATAGATAATGACCATATCTATCAGATTGCTGAATCTGGATCAGATCAGATAATTTTTGTAGCCAAAAGGAACAAATCAATTTGCAGTGGCTACGCAGCGCCCGACGTCACGCTCAGACTGATTTTCTGTCTCTCTCGCACGCACTCTTTGTCGTGTCGTTTAATATTAGACGCCGCCTGCTGGAGGAGAGCCATACTGACTTAGTATCGGGTATAACCGTAGAGTTGCGGTCTCCGAAGCAACTCACAACGTTCCCCCTCGTTTTTAATATTTTTTTATTTTATTTTTTTGTTTGGAGGTATAAAAGATTCATTTTTTGCGTAGAAAGGTATAAATAGTCTTGCCTTGCCAAATCCGCCAATCTTACTAATATCCGCAACAGATTTTATTTACGACGGTACATAATCGCAATGTCCCCGATTAGATACGATTTCAATCAAAAAATAATCGGATTCCTAGAATATTGTGCGTGAATTTTTATTGGAGTCTACGACTCGATAAGATGCGTATGTTTCTTGGGGTATATAAAAGATTTAACCTTTGAAGGGAATGGTTTAGTCGTGCCAAAATGTTTCCGAAAGGCACTGCAGTCCTCGCCTGCCTGGGCTTTTTTTCCCTGTCGGCGGCGTACGATATAACATCCGTTGTCGAAGATGGTAAGATCTTGAGAAATCAGTAACCAGCACTTTGTACAGTTCTCTGGTTTTTCCTTTAGGAATTCCTGGATCCCTCAACATTTCCACAGAACCATTTGTTAGGATCGGCCATGGCTACTATTATATTGAGAGTAAAGTTACAAAGAACTGGTATGAAGCCTATGAGTCGTGTCGACGTATGAATGCCGACTTGATTGCCTTCGAAACCATCGAAGAATGGGATCTGATCAGACAGTATATTGTAGACCTGGAAGTCAGTAATATATACTGGACAGCAGGCAATGATTTGGGGAATGAGGGTGAACATGTATGGCATTCCACTGGAGAACCGCTGACATTGAACATCTGGTCTCCGGGGGAACCGAATAACAAGGAAGGAGTGGAGCACTGTGATGAGGTGTGGTATGGCGGGGCTAGGGCCTTAAATTTATTGAATGACAAGGACTGTTCTTTCAAGCTGCATTTTATCTGCGAGGCACCCCAGCCAAAGATAGCCTCGTTTATCATCTGGTAATACTAATTCTAAGGAGATGTGCATTAAAATGAAGAATTCAAACGAAATATTCTTTTTCTTGGATATATAAGAGGTCGCTATGTTTTTTTGAATCGTTGTTGTGTTTTGTTTTTACTCTCTGAGATCGGAATGTGTACAGATAAGACCGATTGGCTACGATTTTATAGCAAAAACGTGGGGCATCGTTGTGAGTCGCTGCTACGGCCGCGACTCTACATTTATACCCGATAGACAGTCAGTGTGGCCATAAGGCGCACGACAAAGAGTGTGTGAGAAAGAGAGACTGAGTCACTGAAATAATAATCAGATCTGATCTGGTTTCGGCAGTATAGAAGATTCTCCTGACTTCAAAAATGTGGTTGCCACAGATTTTCGCCCTTTGTGGGATCAGAATCACAGAAGTCTGAATACAAAATATCGTGGCTCTAGCTCTTGTAGTTTTTTAGAACTAGGCGCTCATAGGGAGGGACAGACGAGCGGACGGACAGACAGACTTGGCTCTACCGACTCTGCTAGTGATGCTGATCAAGAATATATATACCAAATGGGGTCGGATGGGTTCTTTCTGGACGTTACACACATCCATTTTCTATATTCTTTTTGAGTATCGGTTATTTCTCTAGACCGCACTTCCGTTTACTGTTGGCTTATGGAATATTTACATTTAAAGATATTTGTGAAAGATACTCACTGTTTAAATTCGTGGTTGGGCCATTGGCCACAACTCCGCCACCGGCAACAATCACGCCATTGCTTCCGACCACCGTATTGCCAGTTCCTGTGGCGACACCGACTGCCCCGCCTCCGCCGCCATTTGTGGCACCGTTCGCTGTCTTGGCTCCGGATGGATGCTTGCCAGGGGCGTCTCCGCCACCGTTCAGTATCTGTGGCAAGATGATCTTGTTGTTGGTGGCGTCCCCCGCTGTGGCCGTGAGCACGAGGAGGGCCCCAATTAGATGCCAAGATGGCAGCAACATCAACTTGCCGTTCTTCTGGCCTTCGGCGACCGTTTAGCCAGAGCAACCTCAACCGCCAGGAGCAGCCCCAATGATGGCCTCGTCTCCTGGCCAAAGTGCATCCTCCTCCTTCTCTCTGTAATCCTGAATCGGCGCCTCTCCTCCACCACTCTTTGCTCTGTTTGGCCTCGGGTTTTGTTTTATGATTTTATGATACAATGTTTTTCTTTTCTCGAGCGTTTTTCACACGGTTTTGTTATCAGAGTTTTTCTTTTCCATTGCCCTTTGGCCAAATTTGCTTTTTGCAATTTTTGTGGCTTAAAATTCAATGTAAAAAGATCTCACGTTTAGTTGAAATTTTTCGCTTTAACACACTTTTCCCCTCTCTCTCTCTCTCTTTCTCTCTCTGGTGGAAAACCTAGAAACATTTTCCATCTGCCAGGGGCACACAAAAACTGCCTTAATTCTCGAGTTTTCCATTTGACTTTGGCGCCCCCATAAATTTGCCTTCAATGCACTGCCATTCCCCCTTGGTTTCCTCCCCCCCCCCCTCGTCCCCTCTCGACAATTGTCGGCTGTCTAGTAAGTTTCCCCCCGCATTTCCCCAGCATGCAGATTTTCCGGGCGGAATTCAATAAAGTTTGGCAAAATATTATCCCCATAGAGCCATATTCTCGCTGCCACGCCACACAGTCGTACCCACAGCCGTGTAGCACGTGTTGCAGCAAAGTTTCCCGGAAAGGGCTACAAGGAAACCCCGAAAAAGTCATAAAGATTTGCTCTAGAGACCCTCCCGCTCTCTCTCGCTCTCTCTCTCTCCCTCTCTCTCTCTCTCTCTCTCTCTCTCTCTCTCTCTGGCGAGCAGTTGATAAATGCTGCTCTGGTTTATCTGTATATCGATTCGAAATTAAAAGTCAAACCAAGGAACTAACGAAATGAAAGATTGACAGGATGTTTCTCTAAAAATTAAGTCTTTTTGAACTGGATTTCTTAGAGTTCAGCAATGTAAGTTATTTGTCTTGATATCTGTATGATTATTTCGATCTTTAGACTGCAATCGCTCAGAAAATATGGAATATTCCTGGAACTCATGGAGGAAACCTTGTGGTAGCCACAATTCCAAAGATATCGACTTATACTTTGGAATAACCACAGATAATGGTATTATCTACCAATACACCAAATTTCATCGCTATCGTAGAGCTTTGGATACTTTAAATACGAATGATTGAGGGTTTTGTAGCAGCCATAGATTCAAATATATGGAGTTGTGATTTGCAACCCTCTCTGACAAGGATATTTTCTACCTAAATTCCAAGATTCATCACAATCGGAGGATCATTATAAGCAGAAAAGTGTTCTTAAAACAGTTCCACAGTTAGAGGTATTTTCTAGGGGTATATTTTCTGTTTCTTTTTTAACGGGATAACATTTTAATGTCGACCCACACACATGTGCCGACAGACAGTCTGAAGTTTTTTACGAGTATACCAATTAATTTGAATGCTCTTTCCATTTGTTGTTTATCTTAAGTTTTTTTGAGGTTTCCTACGAGGGAAGTCTTCCATCTGCTCCTCTGCTCTTTCTTTATTTTCTGACTTTATTTCCTACTTTTATAACTTTCTTTTTTGTCAACGTTTGTAATATATTAAGTTTCCGTTTGAGAGCAATGTGTGTATGTACAGTGCGCGACAGAATTATATGTATTTCGGCCTAGAAGTCTGATATAAAAGACCTATGGAGTAAGGGGCCATCAAAATATCCCATAAAGAAAAGTTTCAATAAACCAAATGGCATCATTACACTCCCGAAACGCACTGCACTGTCCTGCCATGTATCGTTTGCTGAAAGATGCTTCTTTTTGGCCATCCTCTCTCCAGGCGAAACTTTCTCTTCGAAATTTTGATATTTTTTATGGCTTTTAAGCGTGTCGCCAGTTAGCTTTTTGTGGCAGTCTGGCAAACACTCCCACACGCCCACACCCCTCCCACCCCTCTAGCAAACACACAAAAAACTTTTTCCCTTATGACTCGCTTATGAAATTAAGCAATTTTTGATGCCCCTTTCCCCCCCTCCCAGCACACATGATGGAGCAGCATTTTCCTCATAGACCAAAACAGATTTAACATCCAAAAAATGGTTGTAAGAACAAGTGGGCGGGGCACACCGTTTTATGCACTTTTTTACGAGTTTGCCAAAGTGTTTGGTAATTAAATTAATAAATTGTTAGACGGAGAAAGTTCTCTCTGCTCTGTTTTGTTCCTTCTTTTTTTTTTTTTTGGTCTGTGAAAATTAAATTTTAATGAGGCTATTTAGCGCTTGTTTTGTTCGGGATTTTCTGCTCAAATTTGTCCATAATCGTTTGTTTGCGATAAACGCGATTAGGGAAGAGAGGATATCCATCCGATATTGGAGTTTTCTTTGAGAGATCTACGATGCTTTTTTCCATTTCCAGGGCCATATGCAACTCGGCCAATTAGCCTCCAAAAAAAGCAGATTCTCGGCCTGTGGCAGAGACGGCAACTTCAGCCAGCCGAAAAGCAAACAAAAACCGTAGCTACGAGAATCTGCCGCATTGGCAGATACTCGTATTTCAGGGATTCCGGTCACATCTCGCAGCTGCAACTTTTTGTCGGTCCTCCTCCCGGAGGTCATTCTAATTAGACGGTTGGCCACGAGGACCTGTGGTCGCCACTTGAATTTATTTAAAGAGCATTTTGTTGGCAATAATAAGCCTCGACAGCCTTGACTTCTTCCCAGGGTGTAAATCATTGCTGGCTGAGTGGATGGGGACCCCTGGCCCCCTCCCCCTAAGCTTCGTTTTGCTGTTCCTTTCTCTAAAAGCTGACAGCTTTTAGTGTCACCCGATAATGGAGTGGAATGAGGTGGGGAAAATGGAATGCCAGTGGGTGTCAGCGAAATTCTTAGCAATAAAAAGCCTCCCACAACAAATGGTGCAAAAAATAATGTAATTTTTTATGTATTGAAATATTTTGAATTTTGAATAATGGAAAAATGAAATTATTATTGTTTGGTATTAATTTTTAATATTTTATGGTGGTTTTCGATTTTTTCTAGAATTTTTTACGTTTATTGTTTGGCATTAGTTTTTAACATTTTGTTGTGGTTTTCGATTTCGTATAGTATCTCTACCGTTTATTATTACTTTTTTTTCATTTTAATTTTTTTTGATGAAATTGATTTTTTTTTTTATTTTTTGTTATGATTTTCTTTAGTGTTTTTGGTATTTTTTCAAAGATTATTTTCTTGTTACTTTTTTAGAAACGCTCTAATTTTTTTTGAATTAATCCAAAAAGTCCTAAAAGCAACTAAAAAGGTAATAATATTTCTCATCTCTAAATCCGACTAAACCCTTCTCTTACCAAAAACGGACTCTGAATAAACCAAATCACAAACAGTTTATATTTACTCCATTGTTAACAAAATGTTTCACTTTTGATCAAACAAAGTTCTGGCACAAAAGTCGCACAATATCCACCGAAAATCTCTGCCATCATCAGCTGCCATCGATGGCATCATCATATTTCCCCCCCCCCCCCCCCCCCATCACCCTCCTCGTCGCAATTTGTAAATTTGTTAGAGCAAACGAGCAAAACAAACCCGATTCCGAATCCGAAGCTAAATAAAAAAGGGAAAAGAGAAAACCCAGTGAAAAGCGTACAACAAATAGAGATATAAAGGATAAATAAAGGAGCAATAAGCTCTGCATTGCACTGACGACAAAAAGTTTTGCGCCAACAGCTGACGGGGGGTTTTTTTTTTTTTTTGGTGGGAGTCCGTTCTCTCTAGACCTCTTTCTCTGACTCTCACTGATACTCTCACTCTATATATCTCTATACCCCCTCTCTGTTTGCTCCTGTTTTCCCCCTTACACTGGATGTACGGCCTGCATTGCCATTGATCTGCATCGATGCTAGGGAAGGCAAAACAACCAAAGTTTTGGCACAGTGGAAAACGCCAGGAGATGAACATTTGAACGGTTTCATGGAAAAACTCTATCAAAAGGAGTCGGAAGAGGTTGGAATCCCTCTAAAACATTTTTCGTATCGAGAAAGTAATTATTTCTAACGATTTGAGCAAGTATTGAAGTACGGAGGGAATTCTAAGTCTAAAAAATGGCAAATTATTCATGAGAGAAGTCCGAAAAGAAAAGCATTCACCAGTGCTACCCATCTGCTTGAAAAATTACAATAGAATGGTCACACTGCACCAGAAAGGAGACTTCGTTTTAGGAGAAATAATTCCCATAAATCAGAGCTTTGAAATTCTAGAGATTCTTCAAAAGTTCCTCCCCTTCAAGGCTCCACTGTACCGCCTGCGTACACACACTGTACCCATTACGTATGCAGTTTTCAAGCAGTTGGCTGCAGTGCAGTGCCACATGCAGGGCCGTACCCGACCCTTTTGCCGTGCTGCCTTCAGCCAGTAGTGGGTTAATGTATTTTTAAGCTAAATTCTTTGTTTATATTTGCTTTGCTGTTTTCGACTGTGTTTGCCTGTTGTGCGTTGCCTTTCGCAGTGTGGCATCCACAGCCACTGCAGTCCTTTATCAATCGCTACTGAAGCCCCCTCCCGCCCAACCGTGCCTCCCTCTAGCTTCCCCCTCACTACTCTTCTTTTTTTTTTGGTTAGTTTTTCCCCTGCCGAAAGTGAACTCTGGTTTTTCATTCATTTATTCGCTTATAAGTTTGTTTGAGAATTTTTCAGTCTGTCTGCCACTGCCACTGCCACTCCCGCTGTTGTAGCTCTGATTGAAGTGCGTTTGTTGCATGTGTCGTTCGAGGACTCGTCTCTGAGATTGTTTACTCTTTTGGCTGGCATGAAATGTGCATTAGCAGAGTTAACTATTAATTGTTTGCACATTTTAAGAGCTGCAGAAGTGACTTTTGCACAGGAGTTGAGGGGTTTTTGTGGTTAAAATTGCCAAGAGGGGAGGAATTTGAAGAAAAGCCTGAGCCTTTTAAACGATCCGATGATTATGTGTTTGGGGAAGCTGGTTTACAAGTATTTGGAGTTTTTTAAGAGAAAAATATAGCTCAGTGATCGTGGTTTAATGGTGTTCTAGTGCACACATTCAGGGAAACTCTAGTCTTAACTGAAAATACTGGGAATTATGAATTTCGTATAGTTTTTTGATACACTTTGTATCCCCAACTATTTGTTTTTCCTATATTTTTGGATGCATTTATGATCTTCCTTTAAAACTAAAACCATTTTTGGTTCTT